ATGGATCCAAAGACGCGGGAGGCGGAAGCGCGGCGAGCCAGAGCGACGGGCACGCGAACGCCAGCGGGCTTCGCGGGCAGCTTCTCCGCCCCCTCGCAGGGCTGAGGCCGACCGCTGGTGCCTCTGCTGCTTGTCGCAAGCCCAAATTTCTCCCTCGCCCTCCTTCCCGCACCCTTCAGAAGAACCACAGCCAGGCCCGCAGGCTTTCTCCAACGATTCTGCGGTTGATTTCTACATGAAAACGAAGAAACCAGCTCGTAAGCGGAGCCTCCGGCCGGCGACCGGGCCCGCACCCCCCGTCCCAGGCGGGGGCCGCTAAGACAACACCGTCCGTTTGACGATCCGCCCGTCCTTGTCGACGGCGAAGTTGTAGTTGCGAGGGTTGTCCAGGCACTCCTCGATCCGCGCGTCCAGGTTCTCGGGGGTGATGAAGGTTTTGGCTTCCTCCTGAAGGAAGGACAAGGACCGGCTCTTAACGCGCGTTAGCCGACGGCTCGCTCCGGGCAGCGCACGAGCTGCTGGTGCCTGCAGAGCTCGCGGATCTCCCGAGACGCCACCGGCATCGCCGGGACCTCGGCAGGAGCCGAGCCCAGAACGAGGAAACCTTTAGCCTCCCACTCAGGATTATGCCACCCTCCGTTTTCAGAGCTCTCACTCAACCTCTGTCCCTTCCGCGCGCTGTCAACACGCCTGGAAGGCGCCGACACTTGTGTTCCCAGCTACCAACAGGAAAATCGCTGGAAAACAAGCCTACGCCTTCCCCATCGCTCCCACGGGCTGCCGTCAAATCCCTCGGGGGGACTGCTGGCAGCGTCCTCCCCAGCGGGCACCAGCTGCTCTTACCTGCAGCTGGAGAACCTCCTTCTCCTTCTCCTTCAGGAAAGCCTCCATTATCCTGGCCTTGTTCTCCGCAGCCTGCAGCTTCCGCCTCTTCTGTTCTTCCTCTTCCTTCCTAATTCTTTCCTCTCTGCCACACGGAAAGGAAACAAACAAACAAACAAACAACCGAAACAGGTAGGCTTTGCTGGGTGCTCAGGCGCTGCAGGGCGGCACTTCGGTGGGGCGCACTAACCCCCCCGGGACGCAAAGGCTGCAGCTCCGAGCGCAGCCAGAACAAACGGGAAGGAGCAGAGCGGCCGCGCCGGGGGGAGAGAGCCCCTGCGTCCCTGGTGCGGGGGCGAAGAGAATTTCCCTCCTCCCGCCAGAGAAGAATTCACGCCAAACCTGAAGGCAAAAGCTTTCCCACAGACGGGCACCCACAGGCGTGGCGTAGACCCGAGCCCCAGCGGGGTCTGGCTCCGTTTGGGAGCTCCAAGTGGGAGCACGTCATTCTTCCGGCAGGACCCGGATGCGGAAGCTCGAGCGCTTCGCGACGGGCCGAGGGACAGCCGGCGGGGGACGGGACAGCCGGGCGCGTCCCTTTTAACCTTCTCCCGCTT